GAAGGAGAGATGTACTCCATCGTGCCGAAACAGATGGGGGATGGGGAATTACACCACCGGCTGCAAACCGCAATAAAGCGCCGGTCCAATCATTGATGGCCCACCTGGCTCGTTCAACCTTGTTTGGGCGGTTGGCGGCGCACTGTTTGAAATGCACAAGGGTTTATCCACTACGAACACAGGGCGAGGGTTCCACTCGTTTTCTCTATTTTCTCAGAATGACGCAGTCAACATTCAGATTTGCATCTCAGAATGAACAAAAAAAGCCCTTTTAAACTTGTTATAGTTGAGCTCTGAAGACAATGACATTGCGTTCAACAAAAAAAATAATATTATAATTTTGCTAGTCTAGAATGTCTCTGACGCACGGCACCCCAGTAGATTTTTTACGGGGAGATGTGATAAAAACTCAAAGTGAAACCATAGGTATGTTTGTCCTCTGGACGACCACAGCTGTGATAATGTGATAAGAGCTGTATACTGGTAATTTTGTTTATATCATCACTTTACTGGTAGTTCAAAGGATATTGAGCTTTAATTAAGAAGTGCACCTTCAATGTCACGTAACGACAAGGTGATGACGACATCAATACACGAGGTCCATCTTCGTCGATAATACCTCCCTTTGCAGTTATCTGAAAAATTTCTATCCAATGGGACATGTACTTGGAGATATCAGGCCTTTGAGGATGCGCCTTGATTGTTGAGAAAATATCCTGTTTGGATTGGCAATATCAGTCTTTCTATACAAGGCCGATTGTGCATGTAACAAAATTAACTGTTCCGGCGTTTCTGTGGACTCTAGCACTGCGTCAAGGTGCATTGTGCTACTAGGACGCGCAATAGAGGGATTTCACATTAGCGCTGTCTACGCATATCAGCATCGAAACCGAGGCTCTCTGTGTTGAACTCCGTCGCCCGCACCCACGGAGTCGACATAGTATATCCAGTATTCGGTTCTTAAGTGTGATGCTACTTCAGTTTGAACTACGCCTACTGCACATGCAGATACACGACCATCGCAGGTACGTTAGTTCGCGGTAAATCGCCGTTATTTTTCGTTTGATTTGACGTGTGGAGTCATCCTGAAAGACTCTTCCACAAAAATGTGCAGCCTGAAAAGTCTGAATTTAACATACCTTTATGTATTTTGTTTCTTGACTCCTTACTTTCAATCGTCTGATTGTATTTAGAATTAAAGCTGACACATACAGCCTCGTTTTCAATCGCGGAAGTGCGCAGATCGACGCTAAAAGCGTCGTATTGGGATCCCTCTATATCTGCCTGCAACATAGACGGCGCACAGTGCGTAGGTCATTGTACTCAGAACTTGGCAAAATGCCGACCACGTGCTGCCGAGAGCAGATCGCATTGTAGGGAACGCCAAAAGGGACAAATGTTTAAGATATATCGGTGTCTTTTCCGCGATAAGTATAATGTTTTGTGTTGCATATTGTATTGTACATGTCTTATTGGGTTGAAACCTTGCAGGTAGTTTGGAAGGGAAGGTTAACAAACGGAAATTGACCTCACGTGATGACAATATCATCAGCAGACGAGTCACGTGACATTAAATCGTGCCTCATTTAAACAACTATATCTCATGAAATGTTCATTCAATTTGGTTCAAATCTTGCAGATATCTTGAGAAGGGAGCGCTTTAGAGGAATTTGTATCTCATGTGATAATGACTTCATCAGGAGACAAGTCACGTGACATTAAGGTTCACTCTTTCAGGCCCTATATCTCCTGAAATAAAAGCTCATCTGGTTGAAACTTTGCAAATAACTTGAAAGAGAGGTGTTATATACGAAAAAAGACTTGATATGATGATGCCTGAATTGCTCAAATGTGCAAGAGAATGCGAAAAGGTACTATGTTCTGTTGTCGAACAGACAGATAAGCTTTCGTTTTTTGCTTCTTTTCCTCCTTCTGCTCAAAAGCTTGGATCTTCATCAAATTTACATCAACAAAGAACCCGTACGCCCAGATGATTCTAAGAGCATGACGTCACGATGACTTCATCGAGCGATTTATTAGTGATTTTTCAATATTTATTTCAGTACATTGACTTTCAAGGCACTGTTTTGACACCTTAGCAATTGTTGATCGTCGTCAAAGTTACAGCAAGCACTAACTATAAAAACGAAGACGATACTGAAATAGTTACGTAATGATGACGTCAACAAGTGATTTCTTATTAAATTTTGAATATTTAAATATTCTGTTACATTTATAACAATCCATATCAAATCAACCGTGGCCTCCCGCAATATTCTGTTTGCAGCAATTGGCAGGATGAAAAGTGGTCTTGAATTCATCTCGTGTGGGTCAAATCACGTGACCCTTCCTTTCGGTAGAAACCTAGATATGGTCTTATTGTTTAAAAATGGTAAAACTTATCAAGTTGTTTTCAACGGTGTTAGTTTACTGGGGCAAAGTATTCTTCAAATCATCTACTGATGACGTCACCTAATTATCGAGCGCCCTCTAGCGACAGGTTAAAAATACCGAAAAACGAATTTTGAATAGATGTCTGGGGCGAAGTTTGTCCGAATTGCCTGAAAATTTATGTGGATGACCATCTTTACCCAGTCAAAACGTGTGCGAAGTTTGGGAAAGTTACAATACAAACTTCTTTTGTTATTCTTGAACTGTAATTTAAAAACCATTAAAAAAGAAGAAAAAAACGGAAACTCCTTGCCCAAACATAAAAACTTGATGTAAAATATCGTCTGCTTCCCCATCTCTATTTTGCTTGGACAATTCCCGAAAATATGTATATATTTTAATCAAAGAAGCTAAAATATTCCACTAAAGTCAGTGACGATGACCCTCACTTAGGCCTGGGTCATTATTAGCTTGCAATTAAACATACTTTTTAAAGACCAGCCAAATACATCCCTTCACTTTAGTCTGGTGCTTGAAATAACAGAGGCTTTATAAGCACACCGTTAGAAAAGCGACAACGTTTAGCTCGTGGTGTGCCGATTTAGACAGTAAATCTTTCCCCTGGTAAAAGTTTCCGGGGGATAGATTTACCAATGTAAAAGTGTCCCTCCCCAGGTAGTTTTGCCCCCCCCCCCGTTTTTGCCACACAGAAGTTATTTTTGCGTTAGGTTGATGAATTTAGTCCACATGAAGTACTATTAGGTTTTTTAGCCCTTCATCAAGTTGTAAAAGGGCGGGTATGAGACTTAAAATCAATTGAGCTGTATTTCTGCAAAAAAAATCCGATAAGGGAGAAGTCCGTATTCTGCAGACTTCTCGCACACGTAGTAATTTTCAGTCTCGAGGCTCGGCATGGTGTAGCTCTGACTTGTAGAGGAATGAAAACAACCGCGCAAATCTCGACACTGGCATCATGCCAGCTCGCCGCGTGGCAGCCCGCCAACAATGTTGAAAGTATTTCAAGTTACAGTAATAGCGTCCATGTTCGCTTCAAGCTACTGCCGCTAGCCCTCAAGCACAATAAATTCAGACAAATACAACTTCTGTGCGTGCGACTCGGTCACCATGGATGCTGCTTTCAGGATAGCCTTCCTCATCCAATTGCCGTGCTTTAACGTAACGACGCATTCCAGAAAAGGCACGGTGTCTGTCTTTACGTTGCGCGAAAACTGTTGGAATCAGGGTCTGGGTGACAGACTTGTGACGTTGCACGGGGACACATTTCTCGAGGGGGGACAAATTTATCTTTCGGCGGGGGGGGGGGATTACCTGGAGGGGGCCAGATTTACCCAGATAAATCTGTCCCCCAGACACTTTAACCAGAGCGAAATCCAGCAACAATGTTCGGGGGACACATTACCAGGGGACAGTCTAACCGTTTACACTGGCTGGTGTTTCGTCAATTGTATGTGTTTACCTTTACGATGAGCTCTGGAGGGCGGGCGTCTAAGGGGATTTAAGATGGCAGCGCCCTGCTTGATTTTTATTGCTTTAGCGATAACGACGGAGATGCTGAGTTCATACAGCTTCTCTTAGCAAAGGCACTGTTATCAAGAAGAGTAACCTATACAACCCTGCCTGGCCAAGGGTGGACTAGCGGTACAATGGTATGTACATGTCGATGCATTTTTGTGGTTTTGGGGAGATTTGCGTAGGTCTATCCATGCTGCCATTCAGACCCTTATCAACTCTTTCGTTTGTTATTAACTAAACTGCGGACTTTCTGTACACTTCCCATTGTTATTGTTTCTTTCGAGAACCCCAAAACAATTTGGTTTTGATAAAAATGCGTATCAAAATTAGTTCAGAAGCAGATACATCAATCGTGTTTTGTGTTTTAGCGGTGATTTGTCAGTATCCAAGCGCCCTCTTGCGCTCTCCATTTGTCAATACTTGGCAAGTGCGGGCGTTACTAAAGTTCGACCACCGTGTACCACTCAGTGTACCAGATTTTATTCAAATTTAACACGCAAATGGCCTATTGTTTCCCCTGAAGCAATGAAAATCTCTACTGAATACCTGGGATGCGACCGTGCCCCTTTCCCCTATTTGAAGTGATGGAAACGATAGTCAAACCATTTATCGATCGGATGACTATAGCCGAAATATGGCCATCGCTCGAACCTGCCCCATATTTTTACCCTCTGCATAATATACCACTGGCATGCAATTCGAAGCACTTTGTCGTTCCTTGCAGCTGCACAATGCACATGGGGTAATTTGAAACGCATTCCTGAAATGTACTGCCCTATTTCTTGGAAAGTAAGAAAGCATGGCTAAGTCACTCGATTACTTGTCACCGATGCAGCTAGTCGTGTGTTGCCTTTCGTCCCAAGCAATTTTATTCAACACTTGTGTTGGCAGTGCAGTGCAGTCAATTACAAGTCCCTTCACAAGTCCAGTCATAAGACCGTTCTCGAGACCAGTCCTGACGGGGTTAGCAATGACAAACTCAATCATTCATACCAAATTTCTCGAAATATGGCTGGCGAAGTATCCGTAAAAGTGACAGAATTCGACATGGAAAGACTGGGAGAACACCGGGCAAATAAGTTGTAGCTTCAAGTGAGTAATTCTTTAATGACACCCACGTTAGAAATTACCACAGAGTCAAGTTGCAAGAGTGAAACACAACCAAAAATCCTTTACCTGAAAAGAAAAAAAGAAGAAAATAGTGAACTGTTAAAGAAATGTAAAAGGAATACGCCGTGTGCGCTAAGTATGTCATTGTGCATTATGCATTACGCAATTCACTTAATTGTTGTTTGTGGAACGAGAAGACATTACAATTCGATTCGCGATGCTTTCGTTTAATTATATTTGAAAGCTACCATTTCAGGGATATCTCCTTTAAACACCGCTCAGCAAAGACACAAAATATGCGCGAAGTCAAAAATTAACTGAGTAACCTCGAAGTTAATATCAAATACTGAAATCTGTTCCGACAACTATCATTAAAATTCAACAAATATTGGGAGTCCAGGTTGGTAAGCTTTAGTGCTAGACTTTGACACAGAATTACTTTTGAGGCAGACTTGAAGTTTGATTCAACATCATTATTTGGAAGATAAGGTTACTTTAAAGATGCCCTGAACTTCAAAACGCCCTTATTAAATAAATTCATATCTTGAAATACTTTCTGAATTAACTAAGACATAAGCGAAGGAAGAGAAACCTGTAATTGCCTATTGGGATGATACTTAAAACTAAATGATCAATTGAAAGCCAGTCTAATTGCAAAAACTGTATATAGTTATTAAGCACTTTTCTAAGCGCTTTCTGTAACTCAGTTTGTAAACATATTGCTAAAAATACTGAAGATTTGCTGGATGTTTAGCCTCTGCACAGTGAGGTTTAGGGATTGGAATCTTATATTTAACATCGAAACATGTTGGCAAAGTAATAGCAATGTCATGTTGAATTGCTACGATCACAGTCTTGAGAATTCTGTCGACTAGTAGTTCAACGAATAGACAGTTTCATGATTTTTGTGTCATTTCAGATGCGCCACATTTAGGGGATATCTGCATAAGAAAAGAAAAACAGACACGTTCTTATCTCGTCCATACTGGGTTCCATCATACAGGGGTGTATTCTCCAAACAATACAAAACATATATTATCTGGAATATACCGGACACAATAACAATATCAGGGTCTTAATAAAAATTAGTTGAAACTGGTTTGCTGTACGCAGACATCTGAACCAAACAAAGGAAGCACGTACATGTATCACATGGCCCTTCCTGTACGCGTATGTCATCGATAGCTATGTCGCTCAGGAAACTGATGCCGCGTTCGCCAACAAAAGTAATCTGTATATAGAATCCAAATGCATGTCAATGTGTCGTTAGGTCAAACTGATTTGTGAACAATGATGAGGTGATAACAAACAATTTTGCGCTGATCCCGGAAAGTTATTTGATAAGGGAATAGATATGTGATTGGCCGGTCTTAACGTGCGTTTAAGACCGGTTCAGGAGAATGGACACCCGATCCGACTACCCACCGCTACTTGTAAGTGAGGCCTGTGCAGCAAAATAGCCTGCAAGAGCTGTGATGCTAATGTATTATCGTATGATGCAGTACAGTAGGCAAACTTATAAGTGAGGCTTGTTCGAGCCTTCTACTTGCAAATTTTCTTGACACTGACCAGTCTCACTTATAAGTGTGCCTAGTGTATTGCATCATATATTACCATCAAAGTTCTTGCAGGCTATTTTGCTGCAGAGGCCTCACTTATCAGTAGCGGAGGGTAGTCGGATCGGGTGGAATGGACGCGACTAATGCCCGCGCCGCGAACAAGGGTATAGAGCGATCCCAATACGACGGGTTTAGCATCGATCTTCGCACTTCCGCGTTTGAAAACGAGGCTGTGTAAGCTTCACATGCACGTTGACAACAGCACGGCGAGATATACATGATACGTATGCACTGTCTGCCACAAAGTGACGCTGTGCCTACTGCACACGATTCTTAGAAGTGTCAAGATCAGACGATTGAAAGTAAAAAGTCAAGACACAAACTACACGTTAAATTCCTACTTTTCAGGCTGCAAATTTTGGTGAAAGAGTCTTTCAGGATGACTCGATCCTAGGCCCATTATTACTTGTATAACATTACTCCCTGGTCCGAGGAAACGTAGAAAACCTAGACTGTGACTTTCCTAGTTGCCAATCCTTTTTGCTGAGAATCCTAGAATTCATCCGGTTAAATACTAGTACCTATTCTTTCATGATATATGCGACTGAGCCTTTGTGAACAATTTCGTCCTCATGAAATTCTGGCCAATTCTGGCTGTATTAATTTTAAGCTGTGTGTATGCAGCCAGAACATAAGGTTCGTAACATCAAAAGAAAAAATGAAGGCAATTAACCGCGAACTAACGAACCTGTGATGTTCGTGTATCTGTAAGTATACTGCATGTACTGTGTCGAGTCCGCGGGCACGCGCGACGAAGTTCAGCACGGAGAGCCTCGATTTTGATGCGGATATGCGCAGACGGCTCTAATGTAAAATCCCTCTGCTATTGGTGTTCATTTTTAGCCGGTATTAAATCAAGCATATATTTATCCCTATTCATAATTACCATTTCAGTCAGAGTGTCAAAGGAAATCAATATATGATAAATTTCCAAGGATCTCGTTCCAGAATTTACTTTCATTTCCTCGACTACTCCGTCCATTTAATGGTTTATTCCTTGTGCAAGTTGTTCAGAAGAATTTCATTGTATGGACTTGGCGCGCGCTCGTGACGAGCCGCGTGCGCGCAGGCTCTTGGCCAATCGGGATTGATTAAAGTGTTTCGTGTCCAGATACCAGCGCATGATTTAATACACGGTTACATGACGGGTTGTTGAATAGGGAAACTGTCTGAGATATTTATGAATGACCATTTTTACACTATATCAAAAGTTGCTTAGTTCCTTACCGAAAACTCCGTATTAGGGTCGATGTCAATCGACGTTTCACGCCACAGGGAACCAGAGTCACCCTTCCTTGACCAGCGAGAGGGGCCAAGACCACCTCTGCAGTCGCCTGTGTACACCGTTAAGGACCCCATGTCCCCCCCGTACATGTGATACCAAAATCTAACACAGGCGCCAGTGGCAGGTGCAATTGCTTTGGCGCCGTCTATTCGAGCTTTATCGCCAGAATTTCGTGGAGCCGATGCCTCGATGTACATGTAGAACCCTCTTGCTGTCAATCCCAAAAAATGGCAACAGTCACAGTTTATATCTCCAGTAACATTTATCTTCGAAATAACACATAAACAAAATCAGGAACTGTGCCAGATCTTTATTACATCCGATATTTGACCCATCATTTGTTTTTAAAAAAATAACAAATACAAGCTGCCATTTAAGCGATGATATACCTTTTCAAATATGTGTCATATGTCTTCAGGTCAAACCTGCTAAAGGTGATACTTGTTGCTTAACTTAGATCCGGGAGCGGAATACGACCCCTCCCCCTCGGCATTTTTCCCCCAATATCTCTGCATGCATATTTTTCAGGAGCTGAGCCTTTAGGAGTTCTTAGGGTATAACTCTTTGCGGTCAGTTTGACACCAATTTCGTGAAAATTTAAGCTACCGTTCTTGAGCAGCGCCAATTTTGCTGAGACAGGTCAGCAAAAAATGTGCAATGCATGCAGGCAGGCACGCGTGTAGCCTTGAATCTTAAATGACCGTAAAAGCAAAACCACTAGTTTGATTGTCTTCAAACTTCATATTTGTAATGATGATAACGATAAGGAGTGTCTTTACATGCATTTCTGCTAAGTTTCAAAAAATCGAGCGTGGTACAGCCGAGTTCATGGGGGTGAAAGCCAATATGTATTTGAAATAACAAAATTATTGGCCATTTTCACCAGTATAGGATCTGCTGTTTGGGTGTCATGGCTTTTAGTGGCTTGAAATACTTTAAATAGCCGTCAATTTAAACAAAAGAATAATTAAGTAAATGTAAAATATCTCAGGCTGTTACAAACAATAAATATTAAAAACCATACCGAATATTGAATTAAAAATTCTACCTCTTACTAGGGCAAATGTCCATTTTGAGGGAAATTTTTTACCAGCAACCAAGGGTGATACTTTTTCAACTGAGGGTGATACTTTTGCAAACTTTGGCTACCCACGGGTAAAATAGGCAGTTTGACAGAATTACAATGTAGTCATCAAATTCATTTATTTTGTCATTTCATATGGCACTTTTACCCGTATTCACACTCGTGTTTTGTACTTACAATATCCTGTTGTATGATCTGCCGTGGGCCCAGTTCCATAGCTCGGGGTCGAACCGCTGTTGAGTATCCAGTCAAAGTCGTCGTTCTGGCTGTTGTTGTACGAACAAAACGTTCCCGAATCGAAGTTACAGTTGAGAGCTGAAAGCGGGACCGTTGAGTCTATGGACGGAATTTACGTTTTCATCAATTCACAATGCTAATACTGAAATAAGCCACAAAGCAACTTAACATGCATCGTGATTTTCAATGTCAGAAAGTGCCGAGACTTAACTTTAAGTAAGTTTATTCCTACTCGTGTAGAAAGGCCCTGTAATCTACAGTTTTTCTATAGCGTCGGAAATAAAAGCTGTCTGTCTTGATGATGGAGTTGTCCTTCTTGATGATGGATCAAGTAACACACGGGTTTCCGATGGTTTTCAAATTATTAATAATCGTTATTCTTTTCAGAAATGTGTACGTTTTTACCATAAACGAAATGTTGTGTTCACGATGATAACCAACTTTAAGATTCAACTAAACCAAAACAAAGACTGTACCTACCACACTGATGCTCCAGAACGATGATGTCATCTATAGCTATGTCACTAGTGGGGCTTCTTCCACATTCTCCAACGAAAGTAATCTATAAAAAGGTACATGCCCAGACTGAGCTAAGAAAAACTAAGTTTTTGTTTCGATTAATATTGAAAACAGGTATACTGGTCACTTCTTCCTTTTAGTCCAACGTCGCTTTTTCGCACCGAACCTATCCACTAAAACTGGTGTTATTGAAATGATCTAAAGTTACGTTTTGATTTAAATCAGAAGCAGATTTGATGATTTGATTTGATGACATTTGAAGAAGAAATCTACCCATAGAAAAAATTCCTTGCCTGAAATTCACTTCTTAGGCAAACATTAATGGATGCCTCCTGCCAAAAGTCACCAGAATCACCGCTCTTTGACCAACGAGAAGGGCCAAGACCCCCTTCGTCGTCACCTGTGTACACCGACAATGTCCCCATGCCTGCCCCATGCATGTGATACCAAAATCTGACACAGGCGCCAGTAGCAGGTGCAGTTGCCTTGACGGCATCTAGTCGAGCTTGATCACCGGGGTTTTGTGGCGATGCCTCAATGTATATGTAAAAACCGCTTGCTGTCAATCAAACCAAGAAAATGACAACGACAAATAACATCTCAAGTGAAAATCATCATTAGGTACACTTCATCTTTATTAAGATATTTCTCCGGTCAGAGCGAACATCCGATGTGATCCGTTGTGAATTGTGATTTAGTGGACGTTTGGTAAAAGTTTCCTAATGGTAATATCTGCTCCTTTTAGACGAAAACTGGAGCATTACGGGAAACTATTTTAGCAGTTTCTACTGTTGAAGTACCAAATAAAAGTAATGGTAGAGTATCCTTAGAAAGATGACTCTTGACCTTCCCCGCCTCCATAAACGTACCCTTCTTTTACTTACGATTTCCTGTCGTATGGTCTACGTCGGGCCCAGTTCCGCTGCTTAAGGTTGAACCTCTATTTAGGAGCCAGTCAAAGTCATCGTTTGGGCTGTTTTTGTACGCACAAAAGGTGTTGGAATCAAAATCGCAGTTCAGATCCAACAGTGTAGCATTGGAGTCTGAGGAAAAATGAAGATTTCAAGAAATGGACCATGAAATAGAAATATTTCAGTAAATTTTATCAAAACACTTGAAGTTGTATCTTTGGGTTTCAATTGGCCTGATTTTTAATGTTTGTTTTGCTATTTCAACCCATTTGGGGAGGTTTTGGTTTTTTATGCTAATACACATTTACATATTTCTGAGCAAATCTATGACATCATCCAAGGCACGAAACTATTATGTTGCACTGATTTTTGCGCAACAAAATGCTAGGTTTTTGTAAACACACATTGTCGTAGATTTCATTTCCTTTGACAATAATCCGGAGAAATGCAAGAAAAAAGTCGGGAACTAGAACTAGAACTGGCATTGACTAATTCATGGAATCCCGAAGGTGATGAGACCAAGGCCAAGACCAAGTCATTACACAATGAGGCCGAGCCTTTCAAAATCGGCCCAGAGGCTGGCCTTGAGACCTCCAACACTGTTCATAAATGTCGTTGGTTTTCAAGGTTGTACCAAATTTTCAAGAAGTGAAATGTTGATGTAGGGAGCTGTCCATGTTTGATCGTGAGTGGAGTACGCCCTCAACCTTCCACCTTATGTTTATATTGTTGAAGAGCAACATATCTCATCACTTTCAAACTTTCATGTGTTTTATACGCCTATATTGGAAATGGTTCTGGTTTCTTTTATGATGGATGTGATTGAATTGCGTGGGATTCCCTCAAGACACTTTTGGAATAGTGTTTGTTGCGTTTCTGGATTTAATTACAGGGTAGTGTCAAATTTTTGAAGGGGCATTGTATGTTTTTACTATTTATACCGCGCATGAATACGACATTCCATGCTCGCTTTGCTGAGGCCGCTGCGTACTACGCGTTCCTTTTCTATGGCCGACACTTCATGGACAGAAGGTCCGGCTTTCCGTCCGGCTTTTCGTCATATTTTCGCCTGTTCAGAGGCTTCTGGCCTGGGCCTGCGGACTATTATTTTGGTACCTAGGACCCATGGTGTCCGGGTGAGTTGGTTTTATAAAGTTGGAGTATCCTTGAGCTGGTAATTTATGATTTGTGTTCTCAATTATTTGTAATCTTCAGCTGGGTACAAAGGGCCTGTGTGTCTTGGATGATCACAGGGTCTACTCACTTGCATAACCCACTGTGATAGCAAAATTGCTCACTGCTGTAGCTTTGAATGGTGTATTTGCAGTATAGATTGTGCATCGTTGACATGGATATTTTATCCAGCACTATTTACTTGGAATGGTTAAATGAACTGTCATTGATCAGTTTTCACATACATTTGTGTGCCAGGTAATTAAGTAGGATTGTGTTTTTTATCAATTTATAGGGGTTTTTCTGTAGATCAGTGATAAAAGCCGACTCATCCAATCCATCCCTTACCGGGAGTTTATTTTCCACCCTGCAAAGACTCGGGTTCCGCCCCAAGCCGGCATGCAAGCACTGCTGCTAAATTTATTAGTAGGAACAGCTTCTTTTTACCGCAAGAAATATATCTTAACCGAGCAGCAAACGCGTACGTACCGCATTGCCCTTTCAAAACGATGATGTCATCAACAGCCATGTCACTTTCAGTGCTGCTTCCACGTTCTCCAATGAAAGTAATCTATAGAAAGAATATAAAAACAGATCGATCTAGGAAGGACTAAATATCTCTCTAAAGATAAAGTAAGGGGAAAATACGACTAAAAACTTTTCCTCAATTTAATTCATCTTCCCAGTTTATCACTGAACTTCAATGTAAAATCTCATGAATGTGAAAAATGATGACCTTGTAGCACACAACCATTTTAATATAACCCCGAAGTCGATATACTAATGAGTTTCAAGCCGAAATCTGCTCATATGCTCCTTGCCTGAAATTCGAGTCCACAGCAGATATTAATGGATGCCTCCTGCCAGAAGTCACCAGAATCACCGCTCTTTGACCATCGAGAAGGGCCAAGACCCCCTTCGTCGTCACCTGTGTACACTGACAATGTCCCCATGCCTGCCCCATGCATGTGATACCAAAATCTAACACAGGCGCCAGTAGCAGGTGCAGTTGCCCTGACGGCATCTAATCGAGCTTGATCACCGGGGTTTTGTGGCGATGCCTCAATGTATATGTAAAAACCGCTTGCTGTCAATCAAACCAAGAAAATGATAACGACAAATAACATCTCAAGTGAAAATCATCATTAGGTACACTTCATCTTTATCAAGATATTTATGCCAGTCAGAGCGAACATTCGTTTTGTAACCCCTAATTTCTGAAATAATACAAACTGCCGATTGTGACGTAGTTGTAGTAGTTTGGTAAAAGATTCCTGATGGTAATATCTGCTCCTTTTAAACGAAAACTGGAGCATTACGGGAAATTATTTTAGCAGTGTCTACTGCTGAAGTACCAAATAAGAGTAATTGTAAAGTATCCTTAGAAAGATGACTCTTTACCTTCTCCGCCTCCATAAACGCACTCTTCTTTTACTTACGATATCCTGTCGTATGGTCTACGTCGGGCCCAGTTCCGCTGCTTAAAGTTGAACCTCTATTGAGGAGCCAGTCAAAGTCATCGTTTGGGCTGTTTTTGTACGCACAAAAGGTGTTGGAATCAAAGTCGCACCTCAAGTCTGAGACCTTGATCCCCGAGTCTGAGGACAAAATGAATTCCACCGCTTTTGCAGGGCTGATTACACAGGCTGAATCTTGTTCAGAAATACTACAGCTTCACTTAACACAAGCCTGATTTTCATTTCAGTTTTCCACCTCAAGACTATTTGATATTTGTTGTCCAAATGGTTTTGGATTTCAGATTAAAAAACTGAGTTTACCTTTTACGTTGAAAAATCGAAACAGCCTGTTTGATACAATTGATGGCATGTGGGCTTCCTTGGATTGAAATAGGGATTTTTTCATATTTATGCAAATATGTGCATCTGAACTGAAGCAAGGCGATCGGTGGAGACCGTGGTTCCTGAGTCCAGAAAAGCAATAGGGAACGATGATCCAAAAGCAATGGGAACAACAGGGAAGGGGAAGCAGTTCAGTAGCGTTTTAACCACGACGTTTTGTCGGCTCTCCATCGTCCCTGTAGGTCTGTTGTGCATGTTTTCTTAGTAGGCCTATAGGGCTGTGCCAAATATCCGAATATTCGATCGAATATTCGAATATTATTTTCCAAATTTGAATATGTAAAATTCATGAAAAGGAAGAGACAATTTTCTTTAGTATTGAATAAGAAAAATTGAACAATCGAGGCTTGTTCGGAGCAGATTCAAATGAGAAGAGACAGAACAATACACCTTACAACGATTCAAGGAATCTAAATTTTCACTCCAGGGCAAGACGTATTGTTTGTTAAATTGTGGCTTGAGATACTCCTAAAAGTGAGGAGCTGTTATAATAGTGATTATAATGTACAATTATGTAAGTTAATGTAACTGATTTTGTACATGGTTTGTTCATCAACAATGTCCCGGTCGGTAGGACCAAATAATCGGACATTCGGTCGAATTGACGGTCGAATATTCGAATAGTGCATTATTTAAATTAACTCAGGCCTACAGGCCTACTGTATTTTCCGTGCAGTGTTTTGGGATATTATCTATTAACGTGAAATTGACAGTAGACGGGGTGTTCGTCTTAGGCTAGTGTACACGATTACCAACGTAACGAATTAGTGCTTAACAAATGAGTCGTTAAAAAGTCGTCAAGAAGTCCAAATCTACGCTAAAAAGTGATCTTAATGATCCACCCGTTTAACAGGATGTTAACCTTTAGGAACTGGTGGTGACTTTCTCATGTTTGAGGAACGCAATGACACTGAGCAGTGCTTCGCCGACATCTCGTATTCAGATCAGATCTAAATACTTGTATAAATTATCAAGAAGGCCTATACGTACCACATTGCCCTTCTACAACGGTAATGTCATCAACAGCAATGTCACTTTCAATGCCACTTCCACGTTCTCCAGCAAAGATAATCTATTAAAAGGCCATAAACAGAGCTTGATCTCAGAAAGAATCGATTTATGCCAATTGTCGACACAATTATCCCTTGATGTAGTTGTGTGTGTTTTTTGTAAATTAATCCACCATCACAATTCTCAAAAAACCGTAAATTAGAGTAAAGATGAACGTGAAAACGACCTTAAAATAAATACCCGTCCAAATTACGTTGAACAACAATTTTAAAAGAACCATTCTTCCAATTCATAGATTGTTTAATTCCTTGCCTGAAATTCACTTCCTGGACCAATATCCATCCATGTCTCCTGCCACTGATCACCAGAATCACCGCTCTTTGACCAACGAGAAGGGCCAAGACCCCCTTTGCCGTCGCCCGTGTACACTGACAATGTCCCCATGCCTGCCCCATACATGTGATACCAAAATCTAACACAGGCACCAACAGCAGGTGCAGTTGCTTTGATGCTGTCTATTCGAGCTTTATCGGCTGGATTTTGTGGCGATGCCTCGGTGTAAATGTAGAAACCGCTCGCTGCGAAGTATACAATATAATGTTATACAGATAATTAAGGGGCTCCAGAAGTGCCACTGACTTAATAAGATCCTGGTCTCTTTCCTTATTTCGGGCTGACGGCATTTACCTGTCAAGATGTCGACACCCTGAGATAAATATTACACAGTAACTGCGTCCTGAGGTAATACGTTATTACAGGAGAAGGGCATCTGAGGTGACATTAAGCATGTTGATACTGTTACAGAGAATAACAGATGAAGTGAGAAATTATTCAAGAATCTACATCCAGCTCCGAGGATCTCATCCCGTGACAAATGTTCTCAAGATGTCTACATCCTGTAGTTATTCGCGGCAGGATGTCGACACCTTACTGTTTACAAGGCGGCAGGCCTGGCTAAAATACTCTGGTGTCAATATATGCTCTCTGTCAGATTAGAGTAGCCGCCATACAGCCATTTGTGTTGGTGTAAACGTCCAGTAAATGATGTTTTGAAGAATTTTAAAGACGGAAAATCTTGAAAATCTCCAGGTTTTATGTCATGCAACTTCAAATTTCACCCGGTAGCAAATTTCCAAAATCGTTGGTCCCCCCCATACAAAGATGTTTATGCCACGCAAAGAGCAAACATCTGTTTTTAACTCCTAATTTCTGAAATAATACAAACTGCCAATTGTGATTTAGTTGACGTTGGTAAAAGTTTCCTATTGGTAATATCTGCTCCTTTTAGACGAAAACTGGAGCATTAGAGGAAACTATTTTAGCAGATAAGAGTAAGTGTACCCTTCTTTTACTTACGATTTCCTGTCGTATGGTCTACGTCGGGCCCAGTACTGCTGCTTAAAGTTGAACCTCTATTAAGGAGCCAATCAAAGTCATCGTCTGGGCTGTTTTTGTACGTGCAAAAGGTGTTGGACTCAAAATCACAGTTCAGATCCAACAGCGTGGCATTGGAGTCTGAAGAAAAGTGAAGATTTCAATAAATGGACCATGAACTAGAAATGTTTCAGTAAGTTTTACTAAGACCCTTGAAGTTGTATCTTTGGGTTTCAGATGACCAGATTTGAAATATTTGATTTGCTATTTCAACCCATTTTCGGAGCTTTTGGGTTTTCTTATGCTGATACATATTTACATATTTCTGAGCAAAAGTATATCATCCAAGGCATAAAACTATTTTGTTGCACTGATTTGTGCGCGGCAAAATGATAGATTTTGTAAAACCACATTGTCGTAGATTTAATTTACTTTGGCAAAAAGCCGGAGAGCAACCTTTTCTCAGAAACGTTTTCAAACAGCATATAACATCAAACAGTGACAACATGCAAACTGAACAGTGTCTGTCTGCTTTTATGTCAATGCAAAAGCGTCCCCTCTCGTCCAGAAGTGCTTGGTCAATTTTCAATGTTTAGTGCACCTTTCAGTTCGTGTACCTCAAAAAGGATGTCACATAGTCTTCATACGTTGAAGAAGGGTATAGATGTACACAAAAGTAATTCTAAGAAAAGCTCATGGCATGGATACTATAATATTCAGGCCAAAGCTTATTTTGAAATTATCTTTTAGAGTTTACTATATACATCATGATTTCGACCTCTAATTTCTACCTCAATATCATTTAAAACTTCTTTGTAAAGTCTGTGACAACGGGAAAGTTATGGTAATTAAAAATTGTAATTTACGGTATTCTGGTGTCGAAAATGACAGCCTTTTTCTAATGACAAAGGTGCACAACATATGGGTTTCCCTTGATTCATTTTAAATTCTTCATAATCACTTTGGAGTAGAGTCCTTTGAGTCTCGAGTCTCCCAGGCCAAGGCCCAGATCTAGTCACTGCCACTCAAGGTGAAGGCCTCAGTGTCTGAGGCCAAGACCAGCTATTACACACATACATATATCACATAACTCTACATAATAGCAGGTTATTTCATCGCACGGAAATCATCTATTTTCGCAAAACATCAGTTGTAAATGACAAGACAGTATTACTACATATTCTGTGTGAGAAAGATAACCAAGTGTATGTTTCACTAATTATTTGCTTTGAGGGCAACATTGTAAACAACGTGGTAAACGAATTTGAATGGACATTATTATTTCTCCTTTGGCAGGTGTTGCAAAGGTCAATTTTTTTAATTCGTGAACCAAAGTACAGGTAAGAGGATGAGTCTCCCCATATAACAACCACCGCAAAATGAAAACAATATAAAATCTTTTGTTGCTCTCAATAGGCTTACGCACATACAGTTCACCATAAAATCATTTCTCAAAATTTTAAATTGCAAAAACAAAATCCCAAGATGTGAAGGCATGCATGCAGACAATTAATTCCCCAAACAAAATCTAGTCAGAAAGTCAGTAATTAAGAAATAGTTGCCCCCCCCACCCAAAAAAAATCTGACCACATTAACCCTAACACTCCTCAGTCCTCCAACAGGTGAAGGATTGAGGAGGGTTAGGGTTAATGTGTGTGTAATGTGTGTGTAAAGTATGGAGTGCTTCCAGAAATTGATAGTATATGTAATTTCTCTTCAAGACAGATAAAAACCAGCGCTTCGTGCTAACCATGAATACATGAAATATGGATGATAATCCGAAAAGGCAGACCGTGTCTATTCTGTTTCATGCACGGTAACACGTGAGAAGCTCTCGCGTGCAGACGGCCATGATGAACAGTCCATTGGCGCACACGCTTGATCAGTGCCGGTCATTCGGAGAATTGACGTGGCTTAGTAGCCAAATGAGCCAACTGTCATGATCTAAACTCATCTTGTCAGGTGCTTCTGGTTTAAATTTAACAGAAGTGATACCCACATTGCCGTAAATATGATAGAAAGCCTTTTAAATGTCACTAAAAAATTTCCTTATCAAGGGCTTCACGTTCGTTTTCGCAGAACTTTCGATGACTACATGTAGGCCTATCAAACACATTTCAAAAGCTATCCATTTTGTGCAACAATGGTAAGTATGGTCTCTTGAGATAAAAACTTATTCAGCTGGATACCATCACTAAAGAGTCAAGGTACCATACCAAGACTTGAACACAAAAATGATCTATGTCCACGCCATACGCACAGTGTGCGTCGCAAGGATTATTTACATTGTCAAGATGAATTTTTTAAAGAAAGGTAAAAACTCACACAACCTAGTCAAAACAGTAGGCCTAGAACTGGCCTTGACTAATTCTTGGAGTTCAGAAGGTGCTGAGACCAGTGCCAAGACCAAGTCATTACACATTGAGGCCGAGCCTTTCAAAAATCGGCCCAGAGGCTGGCCTTGAGACCTCCAACACTGTTCATAATTGTGGTTGGCTTTCAAGGTTGTACCAACTTTTCAAGATTTGAAATGTTTATCAGTAGGAAGAGCTTCTTTTTACCGCAAGAAATATATCTTACGTACCGCATTGCCCTTCCGAAACGATGATGTCATCAACAGCCATGTCACTTTCAGTGCTGCTTCCGCGTTCTCCAATTAAAGTAATCTATAGAAAGAATATAAAACAGATTCATCTAGGGAAGACTAAATATCTCTCTAAAGATAAAGGGGAAAGTAAGCCTAATAACTTCTCCTCGATTTAATTCATTTTCATAGTTTATCACTGAAGCTCAAGATAAAATCTCATGAATGTGAAAAATGAAGACCTTGTAGTACACAACCATTTTATTATGACCCTGAATTTGATATACCAATGAGTTTCAAAGCCGAAATCTGCTCATATGTTGCACGGCTCCTTGCCTGAAATTCGTGTCCACAGCAGATATTAATGGATGCCTCCTGCCAGACGACACCAGAATCACCGCTCTTTGACCAACGAGAAGGGCCAAGACCCCCTTCGTCGTCACCTGTGTACACCGACAATGTCCCCATGCCTGCCCCATACATGTGATACCAAAATCTAACACAGGCGCCAGAAGCAGGTGCAGTTGCCCTGACGGCATCTAGTCGAGCTTGATCACCTGGGTTTTGTGGCGATGCCTCGATGTATATGTAAAAACCGCTTGCTGTCATCAAATAAAGAAGATGATAACGACAATTAAGTACATTTCAAGAGAAAATCATCATTAGTTACACTTCGTCTTTATTAAAATTTTGATGCTACGCAAAGGGCAAACATCTGTTTTTTAACTGAAATATAATAATACAAACTGCCAATTGTGACGTAGTTGACGTTTGGTAATTTGTTTTGTAAACTTTTGGTAAAATTAAGATAAGGTAAGATCCGCTCCTTTTAAACGAAAACTGGAGCATTAGGGGAAACTATTTCAGCAGTTTCTACTGCTGAAGTACCAAATAAAAGTAATTGTAAAGTATCCTTAGAAAGATGACTCTTGACCTTCCCTGCCTCCATAAACGCACTCTTCTTTTACTTACGATTTCCTGTCGTATGGTCTACGTCGGGCCCAGTTCCGCTACTTAAGGTTGAACCTCTATTGAGGAGCCAGTCAAAGTCATCGTTTGGGCTGTTTTTGTACGCACAAAAGGTGTTGGAATCAAAATCACAGTTCAGATCCGACAGCGTGGCATTGGAGTCTAAGGAAAAATGAAAATTTCAATAAATGGACCATGAAATAGAAATATTTCAGTAAATTTTATTAAAACCCTTGCACTTGTATCTTTGGGTTTCAATTGACCTGATTTTAAATGTTTGTTTTGCTATTTCAACCCATTATGGGAGCTTTGTGGTTTTTATACTCATACACATTTACATATTTCTGAGCAAATGGATACCATCCAAGGCACGAAACTATCATGTTCCACTGATTTTTGTGCAACAAAATGCTAGGTTTTTGTAAACGCACATTGTCGTAAATTTCATTTCCTTTGACATCAAGCCGGAGAAGTGCAAGAAAAAAGTCGGGAGTGCTTCAAAAAATTGATAGCACAAGTGCATTAGATATATCTTGAAGACACACAAAAACAGCGCTTCATGCTAACCATGCATACATGAAATATGGATGACAATCAGAAAAGGCAGACCGTGTCCATCCTGTTTCATGCGTGGTGACACATGCGAAACTTTTGTGTGCAAACGGCCATGATGAGCGGTTCATCGGCGCACACGCTTGATTAATGCCGGTCATTCGGAGAATTGCCGTGGCTTAGTAGCCAAATGTGCCAACTCTCATGATCTGACCTTATCTTGCTAGGTGCTTAATATTCCAGAAGTGATACCCAGTTCCTTCTGAATGTGATGGAAGGCCTTTTAAATGCCACTAAAATTGTCCCTATTAAAGATTTCTCGTTCGTTTTTGCAGAACTTTCGATAACTACATGTATCAAACGTAACTCAAAAACTATCCATTTCGTTCAACAATAATAAGTATGGTCTCTTTGGATAAAAAAATCCATTTAGCTCGATACCGTAACTAAGGAGTCGAAGTACCATTCCGAGATATTTTTCGCAAAAATGATCCATGTGCACGCCATACGCACAGTATGCGTCACAAGTATTATATACATTGTCAAGAAGATTTTTTAAGAAAAAGAAAAGCTCACAAACTGGTCAAAACGGTTGGCCTAGAACTGGCCTTGACTGATTCCTGGAGCCCAGAAGGTGCTGAGACCAAGACCAAGTCATTACACAATGAGGCCGAGCTTTTCAAAAATCGGCCCAGAGGCTGGCCTTGAGACCTCCAACACTGTTCACAAATGTCGTTGGTTTTCAAAGTTGTACCAAATTTTCAAGATTTGAAATGTTTATGTAGGGAGCTGTCCATGTTTGATCGTGAGTGGAGCACGCCCTTAACCTTTCACGTTTATGTTTATATTGTTGCATAGCAACACATCTTAAACTTCCATGTGTTTTATACGCCTATATTGGAAATGGTTCTGGTTTCTTTTATGATGGATGTGATTGAATTGCGTGGGATTCCCTCAAGACACTTTTGGAATAGTGTTTGTTGCGTTTCTGGATTTAATTACAGGGTAGTGTCAAATTTTTGAAGGGGCATTGTATGTTTTTACTATTTATACCGCGCATGAATACGCCATTCCCTGCTCGCTTTGCTGAGCCCGCTGTGTACTACGCGTTCCTTTTCTATTGCTGACACTTCATGGACAGAAGGTCCGGCTTTCCGTCCGGCTTTTCGTCATATTTTCGCCTGTTCAGATGCTTCAGGCCTGGGCCTGCAGACTATTATTTTGGTACCTAGGACCCATGGTGTCCGGGTGAGTTGGTTTTTTAAAGTTGGGTATCCTTGTGCCGGTCATTTATAATTTGTATTTTCAATTATTTATAATCTTCAGCTAGCTGTGTATAAAGGGCCTGTGTGTCTTGCATGGTCACGTGGTCTACTCATTTGCATAACCAACTGTGATAGTGTGGAAGGGAAATTTGAATGTTTTTTTACATGACACGTTTTCTTTTACAAGCTTCCTTAATTTAGCCAGCAACTTGTCTGGTAGCCTGTATCACCTTATAGTTTAGCATTGCTCATCGAGCTTCCTGCAGTTAATTGTTCAGACTGGTGCGTGCTACTAAGAGTGAGCATTACCACTCACAGCTCTCTTTAGCCTTCCCACATTTGCACTTTTCTGCTCTTGTCACCAGTTGCACCTGGGGTGAGTTTTGCCGTAATTAGCTATTTGTATTGTAAGTCAGTAGTTTTAGTGTCAAACTAGTTAGTTTGTAAATAATTAGTTTATTGGTATTCATGTACATGTATTCAGTACAGAGGTGATGCTCTAGGTGCGTGATGGCCAGTTTATTTTGGAACACTCATTTTTTTGAGGAGACATTGTCTTTTGTTCTTTATAGATGATTTGATATGTACCAGTACTTTATTTTATCCCACATCTTCCACATTGAATTACTGTGTACATGTATTTAATTTTCGTCATTTCTTTTTGTTTTGATTGATAGGTTTGTGCCTGATTGGTCACTCGAGTAATCCACTTGTGGCACTGTGTTGTGTTGTTATCACATTTCCATTTTTTTTCATTTTTTAAACTTTGTCCTGACCTTCCAAATAAATCGCAACCCACTCTTCCTGAACCAGGTGTCCTCAGATCTTGTTACTTTCCCAAAGTCTTATGTATTAAGTTAGTGGGGCAAATTTCCAGGTTACAATAGCAAAATCGCTCGCTGCTGTAGCTTTGAATAGTGCGTTTGCAGCGTAGCTTGTATGTTGTAGACATGAACATTTCACTGTTTATGTATTGAAATGGTTAACTGAACTGCCGTTGTTTAGTTCTTCACATACATTTGTGTGCCAGGTAATTCAGTAGGATTTTTGTTTTGTATCAATTTATATGTTTTTTTTCTGTTGACTGATCAACTACAAATAAAGTTAGATCAGTGATAAAAGCCGAGTCGTCCAATCCATCCCTAACTGGAAGTTCATTCGCCACCCTGTGGAGACCGGGTTCCGCCCCCAACCGGCGTGCAAGCACTGCTACTACATGTATTAGAAGGAAGAGCTTCTCTTTACCGCGAGATATATATCTTAACCGAGTAGCAAACGCGTGCATACCGCATTGCCCTTTCAAAACGATGATGTCATCAACAGCCATGTCACTTTCAGTGCTGCTTCCACGTTCTCCAATGAAAGTAATCTATAGAAAGAATATAAAAACAGATTGATCAAGGAAGGACTAAATATCTCTCTAAAGAAAAAGTAAGGGGAAAATGAGCTTAATAACTTCTCCTCGGTTTAATTCATTTTCACAGTTTATCACTGAACCTCAAGATAAAATCTCATAAATGTGAAAAATGACGACCTTGTAGCACACATCCATTTCATTATGACCCCAAATTTGATATACTAATGAGTTTCAAAGCCGAAATCTACTCATATGTTTCACAGCTTCTTGCCTGAAATTCGTGTCCACAGCAGATATTAATGGATGCCTCCTGCCAGACGTTACCAGAATCACCGCTCTTTGACCAACGAGAAGGGCCAAGACCCCCTTCGTCGTCACCTGTGTACACCGACAATGTCCCCATGCCTGCCCCATACATGTGATACCAAAACCTAACACAGGCGCCACTAGCAGGTGCAGTTGCCTTGACAGCATCGAGTCGAGCTTGATCACCGGGGTTTTGTGGCGATGCCTCAATGTATATGTAGAAACCGCTTGCTGTCAACCAAACCAAGAAAATGATAACGACAAATAACATCTCAAGTGAAAATCACACTTCATCTTTATCAAGATATTTATGCCAGCTAGAGCGAACATCCGTTTTGTAACCCCTAATTTCTGAAATAATACAAACTGCCGATTGTGACGTAGTTGTAGTAGTTTGGTAAAAGATTCCTGATGGTAATATCTGCTCCTTTTAAACGAAAACTGGAGCATTACGGGAAATTATTTTAACAGTTTCTACTGTTGAAGTACCAAATAAGAGTAAATGTAAAGTATCCTTAGAAAGATGACTCTTGACCTTCTCCGCCTCCATAAACGCACTCTTCTTTTACTTACGATTTCCTGTCGTGTGGTCTACGTCGGGCCCAGTTCCGCTGCTTAAGGTTGAACCTCTATTGAGGAGCCAGTCAAAGTCATCGTTTGGGCTGTTTTTGTACGCACAAAAGGTGTTGGAATCAAAGTCGCACTTCAAGTCTGAGACCTTGATCCCCGAGTCTGAGGACAAAATGAATTTCACCGCTTTTGCAGGGCTGATTGCACAGGCTAAATCTAGTTTAGAAATATTTCAGTTTTACTTAAGACAAGCCTGATTTTTATTTCAGTTTTCCACTTCAAGACTATTTGATATTTGTTGTCCAATGGAGGCTTGTTCCAAGCAGATTCAAAAACGATTCAAAAAGTAAATGATTCATTAAATATTTTGAAAGGAATCAAAATTTTCACTCCAGAGAAAAAACTATTGTTTGTTAATCTTGGTAAATCGTGGCTGGAGATACTCCTAGAAGTGAGAAGCTGTTATAGTAGTGATTATAATGTACAATTGTGTACGGTAATGCAACTGATTTTGTACATGGTTTGTTCATCAACAATATCCCCGTCGGTATAGGACCAAATGTTCAAACATTCGGTAGAATTGACGGTCGAATGTTCTAACATTGAATTATTTGAATTAACTCAGGCCCATAGGCCTACGGTATTTTGTTGCCACATTTTTTCCTTACATTGTTTTGAGGATTTTATCTTCTAACGTGAAATTGGCAGTAAACGGGGGGTTTGTCTTAGGCTAGTGTACACGATTACTAACATAACAAGTTGTTGTACGAATCAGTTGTTAAAAAGTCGTAAAGAAGTCCAAATCTTCGCTGAAAAGTGATCTTAATGATCCACTCGTTTCTCAGGATCTTATCCTTTAGGAACTGGTGGTGACTTTCTCATGTTTGAGGAACGCAATGACACTCAACAGTGCTTCGCCGACATCTCGTATTCAGATCAGATCTAAATATTTCCATAAATTATCAAGAAAGGCCTATACGTACCACATTGCCCTTCCACAACGGTAATGTCATCAACAGCAATGTCACTTTCAATGTCACTTCCACGTTCTCCAACAAAGACAATCTATAGAAAGGCCGTAAACAGAGCTCGATCTCAGAAAGAATCGATTTATACCAAATGATTCCTTCTTGTTGTGTGTGGTTTTTAATTTATTCCTCCCATCACAATTGTCAAAAAACCTGTAGATTAAAGATGAACGTGAAAACGATCTAAAACTAAACGGTAATACCCAAGTCCACATTACGTTGAACGACAAGAACCATTCTTCCGATTGATACTTCGTTTAATTCCTTGCCTGAAATTCACTTCCCGGACCAATATCCATCCATGTCTCTTGCCACTGGTCACCAGAATCACCGCTCTTTGACCAACGAGAAGGGCCAAGACCGCCTTTGCCGTCGCCCGTGTACACCGACAATGTTCCCATGCCTGCCCCATACATGTGATACCAAAATCTAACACAGGCGCCAGCAGCAGGTGCAGTTGCTTTGATGCTGTCTATTCGAGCTTTATCGGCTGGATTTTGTGGCGATGCCTCGGTGTAAATGTAGAAACCGCTTGCTGCGAAGTATACAATATAAAGTTATACAGATAATTACGGGGCTCCAGAAGTGCCACTGACTTAATAAGATCCTGGTTTCTTTCTTTAATTCGGGCTTGTGGCATTTACCCGCCAAGACGTCGACACCGTTTTGAATAGGAGCTGGTGGCTGTGTGTTTATTTGTCTGTGTTACGAACTCACCGCATAGGCACGCAACTTTGACGTCGAACTCGCCGAGTACGCGCAACGAATTTATGCCAGAATGTATGGCCTTCGTGTGTACGCCGAACGCGTGCAAGAACCCGGTTGGAAAACTTCGTACCAGACTGTCTTTGTGTGTAAAAAATGTCTCCAAAAAGTATCCTCATTGCCCGGAAAGTCCATACCACTTGCTGCCGGGGAAACTGGTTTCGGGCATAGGCTTTATACATGAAACCAGGGAGCCCGAAATCGGACAAAGGAAATGGGCTTTCTAAGAAAAGACTGTGCTCGGAACAAAAGACTGACCTGCTGGGAATTGCCAACACTTTTTCAGTTGTCAATAGCGGAGGAAATCCGTCATTGTTTTGAAAGATGTTTATGGCATTCAGCGCAAGCGGATTAGTACCAGGGACAAAAGCACTCCAGTGACGAGCGATACAATACTGCTGCACACTAATCTGGCCCCTATTGAAAAGATGCCAGCAGTGTACTGTGCTAGTTTCGGGAACAAAAGAAACTTACATAACACCACACAATCTGTTTACGAGGCGGCAGGCCTGGCTGAAATATTCGGTGTCAGTAGATGTTGACCAGGCAGTCATTAGTGTGGGTGTTAACGTCCAGTAAATGAAGTTATGATTTTTTTTTTTAAGAAATTTGAAAACGGAAAAACGTCATGCTACTTCAAATTTCACCCAGCAGCATATTTCCGAAATCGTCGCCCCCCCACAACACGTTTGCTTCTGGATCCGCCCTTGACGTGGCTCAGCAACCAGCAGCAACAAAGCGCATGCGTCAAGTTTTAAGAATTGCTCTTCGGACTTTTTGATCTTGGTATGAAAAGAAAGAAAGAAAAAATCCCTGAAGCCACGATGAGCCACGGAGAAAAACAAAAACAAAAGTAACGGGGCACTTTCAATTCACACACAAAACTTCATATTTAGCAAAGAAAAAAGAAAATTCGAAAGGAAGATTCCCATATTGCGATGATCAAGCATTTAGACCGGGACAACTCCTCACGTTTCTATGGAATCGCCGAACTCAATTTTTTTCCAAGCGTCATTAGTGTCAGCGCACGCTAGGCGTTAAAAGGCGCATACGTTTGGGGTGAGCTGCTTACACGGTGCGTTTCACTTTCACGCACACAAAAATCAACTCCATTAGCGAAACACGTGCTGCGAGCGATTTTGACGGACAAGTGTTGACGCGCTGTGGAAAGGCGCCGTTAAGGTTCCAGCACCTCGGCAAAAAAGGGATCAGCACCATACCAGCTTGGCGGTCATAGCGTTTTTCCTCAACGTTTTGTCAACTTACTCGTTCCCGTAGTGTGATCTGCGTCAGGCCCGGTCCCAGAGCTCAACGTGTTGCCACTATTTAGAGTCCAGTCAAAGTCGTCATACTGGTTGTTGGTGTAGTGACAAAAGTTGTGGTCGTCGAAATCACAGTCAAGAGTAGACAGTGGAACGGATCTCTCTGAGGACAAAAATTGGCGCAATGGGGTCAATTAACTTACATTTTGCTGAGATATTCTCTTGCTTTACTTAGCACATTTCAACCTACTCAATGTTTTTAAGCATTAACGTAATTAAAACATTCAATATTCAAACGAATATGATTCAGTTGATAGAAACGAATAGATCGACACTAGTCTGAGAGGAACTAAAGTTTCATTGGAAAAATGCACGGCTAGGTAAAGCGAAGGGGCTATTCAAAATTTTACATGCTTTTAAATTTCGATTTTTTTTTCCGAAATCGTTTTGAACCCGCCCACCCCCCGATTTCGATTTTTAAAAATGCTCATTCACTATTGTATAGTATGCATGGTGGCTGCCATGTTGAATGCCACCCCACGACTGCACATACAAGTTCCTGTTACAGCGTTTTCTGGCCTGTAACGTTCTTCTGGCCCTTTTTTGCATCCGTGGTTATTCCTCCATGGCCTGAATATAATTATTTTTGTTATAGTGCTCTCTTTTACAGCACTTTCCTGTCCAAATAGCGTGTCCCAGATGAAATATGCAAAATACTGACGTGTGATTTTCTGTAATAATTACTGGTACGCAGCGGAGCATCAGCTAATATGGATTGCATTCCTATACTGTCCATCACTCCTGGAGCAAGGCGACGGTCCGACAGAAAATTGGAGGTAAAATTTAAAAATGCCTCCAAAAGGGCTCTCTCTCTCGCCCTCTCTCTTGTTTTTATTTATCGCATATCGGTGATTCGACTCAACTCGAGTCACAAATATTAGTGACTTGTTGCAATTGTTCGGTTTATTTCTATTCTTCCACTTATCTTCTTGTGACATAAAATTACATGTACATTGGTTTTAATGTACAAGATGAAGAGTGGAGGCCGACAGAAGGCAACTGCTTGTATAAGGCCAGGCCCCCATTATATACAATTAAATACAAGGAAAAAAGGTAAGTGCGACAAAAACATGAAGATTATTATTTCAAAAAGGCATAAGTATGGCAAAAAATACTAAAACTAAAAGAAAAAGAGAGAGAGAAAAAAAGAAATTTTACCAATCAAATGAGCAAAGCATTTCAACAGTAATTAAGTTGGTATAGATACAACTCAAACTTAATTAAGCATTGAATCATTTCAAGTGTATTTTTTTAGGAGGAATTACAGTGTAAACCGAGTGAACGAGAAATCGACATATGAACCTTTGGGCGTTGACTTTGCTAAGGAAATTTGTTATCAATGATTACACCTAGAAATGTAGTTTGTCTAACCAAGTTTATTCTGTTGTTATTGTAGAAGATCGTACAATTGTCGTGTTGGTTCTTATTTGAAAAAATATATAACAAGTTTTGGTTAGGTTAACTGATAATCTGTTACAATTAATCCATGAAGAGATAGACTCCAGCTCCTTATTTACAACACGTATTACCTCTTTGTATACATTACTGCTATAAAACATATTCGCATCATCTGCACATAAGAAAAACTTTAAAACATTTGAAGATCTGGGTAAGTCGTTAACATATAAGAGAAATAAAATTGGCCCTAATATAGACCCTTGGGAATACCCCCAAGATATTGATTGCAGTGAAGAATTATTATTTTGCCATCTAACATACTGCTTTCTTTCACTCCGGTATTTTTTAAACCAATCGAGTGCAATTCCTTGGGATCATAAAACCAAAAAGATAACTTTTTCCTCATAGTACATAAATTTCCAAACCGAAATTAAAACAAAGTGAGATAGACCAAATGTAAATATTGGGGTTTTTTAGCAGTTAGGCATGGTGGTATTACGTAATACGGGTGCCCCATATATCTTTCACCTACCACAGCCCTTTCACGAAGCGTAAATAAGCCATTCATTGTGAGAGTGAAATCACTTCATGCTCCAGCACCCACGCTGTGTATTCACTACCAATGCCATACAAGTTCTTATAGTCTCCAGCCCCCCCCCAAAAAAAAATTCAATGCATTTCATAGACCGATGACTTATGTTTAGTTATATACGGTAGATGAGATGCTTTGTTTTTTCCAACAGGCTTGTCGGCTGTCTATTGCTGCTTCTCCTGCGGAATAGGAATGCAGGGACATTGGTCCAAAGCCTGTCCCGTACAATTGCGTAGTGTTTGCTATGTATATATAGCCTCGAAATATGCCTCCTTGTTCAGGCACAACGAAATGTCAGACTTGAAACCCAATCACATTTCAGAATTGCCTATTAAGACAGGACTCTGAATTTTCATCCCAGAGTCAAAAGCTGACGTCATTAGAGAAGGAGACCAAAGCTTTTTATGATACCAAAGACGTGTATTCTCAAGTACACATACTGAAAACTTTCATGAGAAAATCTAAGTTGCCATTGGCAAAGATAAGTTCATATTCACTCCACTGACTTTTTGTGCGAAAACTGGATCTTCCAAACGCACACAGAATAGACCTTTGAGTTACACAAGATGTCGAGAGTTGTTCCTTCGAACAAAAGAAATGAGAATTGGTGAAGTTAAACAATACGGCCTACACAGTTTAAGGTCAGGCGGTGCTTCGCACCTCGCCAATAATGGTATAGCTGAAGAATGAATTATGCAGTGCAGTCGATGAAAAACGACAAAGGCCAAAAATAGATATGTCAAACGCGAATTGGACCAGAGACTGGCAGTGTTGTCGTAGACTATCGTCTACAACAGTTGTGTAAGTTTCCTGGAGTCATATGACAGCCACGTATGGTTTTGGTTATTGTAATTCATATGGTTTGGACGAAGATGATATTTCGCCAGATGGGGTAGATACGCCCCTTGGGCAGGAAATTAGTAATTTTGTTCAACAGGCGATTACGGGCATAAACTTAATGTATGAAACCATGCTGTTCTTGTATATTTTGTTTACTTTGTTTGAATACATTATTCCAGATGGGAGCGCTCGCCAAGGTGGCAAGGTAATTTGAGTAACAGTATTAATTTTTTTCTATAGAAGTACAGTTTGTGAGCCACACTGCGCGCCTGTGCACAGGCCAGCCCCCGTGATGTATGTTCAATAATTTCCGAAATGCATATAATATTCTCTCACTTCTCCTTGTTTAGCGACGTTCTCTAAAGTAAAACAGTTTTTCATGCGTTTGAGCGAAGCGAGGTAGCATGAAAATTACTTTCTCGTGCGAGCTTTTGGAGATTAGGCACTCCCCCCCCCCAGATTCATGGCAGATTTTTCTAAGCAAATTTCCTTTATTGTTTGTACTGTTCTGTTTCAAGAAGTCACCACCATGTTCAGTTAATAAGTTTTGATTGTACGTATACACAGCTCTCTCTCTCTCTCTCTCTCTCTCTCTCTCTATATATATATATATATATATATATATATATATATAA